TACGCTATGCAGTGTGCTATGAGATAAATTTAGCCCAGACAGCGGCGTTACGGCCTACTCTTATCTCAAATTCCAACTGTCAATTACGTTAATCACTGGACCTTGGTGAAGCACCGCTGGACATTTAGAATAGGGATGTGACCAATAATGTCCTTATAGTATCGTATTGTTACGTAAATAAGATATAAAGAACATTAAACGATTCTTGGAAACATCTGGATCACCCGAAGAAAGAGGAATTTATTTTTGTTTTATACTTTTTATAATAACATAGCTTGCATAGTGTATTCTAAAATTTTAGTAGAATAGAAGCCATATATTACTTAATGCCTAGCTCTCCTCCATTAAATAACACGTAATCGTGTAAAGCATTCACGCGTTCCTACTGCATAGGTCTAGAAATAAGTGCAATATTTCATTGTATATGTCGACACATTTCAGGTCGCATACAGTTTATTTATATAACATGATACATTCATAAAATAAAGAGTATTATATGACTATAACACAGATCATTATAGTATGACAGTACACATTATAATATTAAAGATACATTCCGGGTGATTTGATGATATATTTGGACTAAAAACATATTCAAACTTATTAATTTATCATGATTTTGCTTCAAATCCTTCTCAAAACATTGCAATTGCCAGGGAATATCCTGGCTATAAAAAATCGACCAAAAGAGGGCATGTTTGTGTCATGTGATTTACCTCGCCCGGTACCTAGCAACGGGTGCGAAGTCGGAGGAGAATTCATTGCATACACAAGACGATGTTGACTTTAATCGCTGACTATTTATTACAAATATCGAAGCCTAATTAAATTCTCGGATTATCCACTGCCCTCGTCTTTTTCCATGATTTTTATCTCAGAAAGTGTTGTACGTCTAACTCTTCATAAATTTTATCAACATCAAACGCTCAATCTCCGCGTGCAACCTTTGACGTCACGCGTGCAGACACTAGTCTTAATCGTCGGGCTGTCGATTAGGGAAACCCTTCCAGTTTTGTCCTGTATGCGCTCCATGAGTATTTTCCAGGAAATCCAGTATTTTGCCAGTAAAATTGGATATTTCTATTTACATATATACCAAAATTGCCATACTTTTATTGGCAATAACCACCCGATAAATACTTTTCTGGGAGCATATCTTTAAGGCAACAATGGTATTTGTTTTCAGAAAGAAGCCAAAATATTGTTTACAAAAGAATACAGTCGAAAGGAAAGACATGGTTTAAAAAGATACTTTCCCGCGTACAAGCTGTGTGATTTTGTGATATATACTATTCAAAAAAAGTAGGGGATATTTGATTTTTAAGTGTTATTAAAGTCACCTAATGAAACTGACGAAGAAACAAATGACAAAATGAAATGAAGTTCACATTCATTGATTTATTCCAAATGATCGTTAGACTAAGTAAGGCACAGACTGACCATTATAAGGGTAAAATGATACCCGGGGTCAAACATCAAAGTTACCACAGCATCACAACCAAGTCAGTAACGGGTAAATCCTCCTCTGTTTGCCAAACAAGCATTGATCCGACGTGGCATACTCCTAATGAGACGTCTAAGGTCATTTTGGTCCAGATTGTCCCATTCCTGTTGCAACGCAGCAGCAAGTTCTTGGACATTGGCAGGACGTTGTTGACGTTGACGTAACCTCTGTCCAAGCATGTCCCAGACATGCTCGATGGGCGAGAGGTCGGGACTCAGTGCTGGCCAAGGTAATGTGGTGATGTTCTGTTGTTGGAGGTAACCTGTAACGATCCTGGCCCTGTGACATCTTGCGTTGTCATCCTGGAAGATGAAACGGCGGCCATGACGTCGTGCGAACGGCACAACATGGACTGCCAAGATGTTGTCCCGGTAGTACTGGCCTGTAACACGCCCTGCAACAACATGTAAAGCCGTTCTTCCAGCAACAGTGATGCCTCCCCACACCATAACAGAACCACCCCCAAATCGATCATGTCTGATGACGTTAACGTCTTGGAAGCGCTCGTTTCGACGACGCCACACCCTCCTACGTCTGTCCAAAAAATCAACAGTGAACCTTGACTCATCTGAAAACATCACATTGCTCCAGCGTCGATTATCCCAGTGTTGACGATCCCTACACCAACGACGTCTTGCCTGAATGTGATGATCTCTCAAACAAGGGATCACGCGAGGACGTCGGGCGCGAAGGTGACCCCTATGCAGTCGATTCCGAATCGTCTGGCCACTCACTCTCACACCAGTGTCTGTTTGAAGACGAGCGCTGATCTGATTTGCTGTGATGACACGATTTCTCAAGGCCAAGGTACGGATAAATCGATCCTGGGCTTGAGTTGTCGCCCTTGGTCGACCTGAGCGTGGTCTGTCCTGTACAGATTGTGTATCACGGTATCTGGACCATAGCCTGCTTATGACAGACTGAGAAACATTCATCGTCCGCGCCACAACCGCCTGTGTTGTGCCGATCTGTAGCATGCCAAGGGCACGTAACCTTTCATTTTGGGAAAGCAGACGCATATCAAAATTTGTTTTCTGGTCACTAAAACAATTAAACTGATGTTTCCACCCTGGAATTCAATGCCACAATGACTGTAACATTCAAAGTCAGAGTCGTGCAAATCTTGGGTTGAACCCCCATGATGATCCCAAGCATCACCTGCATTCCATGCGGTAGCTATTGGTGCGTTTGGGCGTCACATGTAACTGGAAATGTTTCTTCTGTTAGGTTCTATAGTGACTTTTTTCGTAGTCATTTGCATATTTTAGTATTTTGCCCCCAAAATCAAATATCCCCTACTTGTTTTGAATAGTATATTTGGACAATAAAAACATATTCAAACTAATTAAACTATCGTGAAACCCTGACATTTTTGCCAAGGGCTTGCCCCGTGGGTGTTTTTGCCAGGGGCTTGCCCCGTGGGTGTTTTTGCCAAGGGCTTGCCCCGTGGGTGTTTTTCGGGTATTCCAGTATTTTTCTAGTAAGATTGGGGGTCTGTACTTTCCATATATACCAAATTTGCCATACTTTTATTGAAAATAACCACCCGATAAATACTTTCTTGACAATGTATCTTTAACGTCTCATCAACGCATTGTTGTGATTTTTCCTAAGTGCTCAACTAGCTCCCTGGAAATACACAATAGTGTAAAATATCTAAAGGAGTAGAAACCAAATAGAAATCCATTAACCATTGAGAGAGACAGTGGCCGAGCTCGTTAATTATGGCTCAAGCTTACTAACGAGGAGATCCTTGTTTCATCCCGGTGCCACATTCTCAAGATAGACACCCTATCGATAGCACGTTAAAGATCTACTGAAAGTTTGAAATCGAAATAAAAGTGTGAAAATGTCATTCAAAAGAACTCTGCATGGCTTATATCCATCTTCATTTTGGACAGAAAAGTATGACGTTAAACCCCATTTCATTTCATTTCCATTAACAATTATGGGGTTGGTTTGTCGAATGGTTAACGCGTGCGCGTTTGACCAGTAGGTCTGTCATTGAGTCAGGTGGCGTGGTTTCGATTCCCTGCTTGTACGTGAAAAGGAGTAGGGTCGCCTGTCCAACCTTGTGGATTTTCCCCGGGGTCTTCCGGTTTCCTCCCACTACTGAAGACCCCTACGCACAAGCGAATTATTGAAATAAAATTGATACCATATTATGTTAGTTCCAAAATGAACTAGTTTGTGTCGAATGGACGTTAAATCCCATTTCTCTCTCTCACCATTAACAATTCGATCAAACAGAACCAAATACCACGCAAACTTGCTAATATCAATTGGGGTCAAGTATATGAATTAAGGTCACGAATGTTGATTAATATTACAAATAAATTTTGAATGTAACTGTTGATGATAAGATTATCTTTATCTCAGAAATACTGGACTTTATACTTGTTTCACAAGAATGTGAACATAATGTGATTAATTGCTTTTATATTTCTTTAAAAGTTTTTGTCTGTGGAGCATTTATTACTGAAATGGGTTATTTTCGTTCAGACTGTTCCATTTCCGAACATATATTTTTTATAGTGCAAAATAAGCAAGTAATTATTAAAGGGGGTGGGCCTTCAAATTCTCCGTTCAGTTATCACCCCTAATTTGGAGTGATTTCATCGTTCTTTGTAGCTATCCACAGTGATTTCATCGTTCTTTGTAGCTCTGAAAGTCGCGGGTTCGATCCCGGTGATGGCCGAGATTGTTCATCGAGATTTTCCGGCGTGGTTTTTCCTAGTCAGTAGTGCAGGACAGACGAAAAACAGAGGTCCTGTGTACACATTGGCATTTGGAATTCGATATAAGAGTAGGCCGTACTGCCACTGTCCGGGCAAAATTTCCCCCATAGCACACTGTATGGCGTATGCCCGCCCGTCTTCATTAACCCAGATGGGGGTTGGATGGCTGAATGGTTAGCGTGCGCGCGCTGTATCATAAAGTCTGTCATTGAGTCGACTGGCGTGGTTTCGAATCCCCGGTTGAACGTGACAAGGAGAAGGGTCGCCTGTCCAAACTCGTGGGTTTTCTCCGGGTCCTCCGGCTTCCTCCCACTGCTAAAGACCCCTACGCGCAAGCGAGTTATTGAAATAGAATTAAACCATATGTTAGTCCCGAAATGGCCTAGTTTGTGTCGAGTGGACGTTAAACCCCATTTCTCTCTCTCTCTCATTAACCCAGTCGGAGCAGAACAGTAAGACGTTAAACACCATTTCCTTTCATTTTATAACTTGTTACTGTAGATACATGTGTGGGAGATCACCTTTAAATGCACTACTCCATTTTAATATTATAATAATAGATACATGTGACATCGAGGTGGTATCCTATTCAAGCAACTTTAATTGTATTTCTTAGAATTATACTAGGAGTAATTATATACTCTATGTGCTTGATATAACCGTGATTATAATAGGATATTGGCAAATAGACCCTTGTACTAGTCTAATGTATAAGGATTTACTATGACCTAAATATCACCCGTCCGTAGCATGTTTACGTTTCATTTCAACATTCATTGCTTTTATGATATGAATGACATGATCCGGATCTTGCCTATAGGTTGCGCAATGTTATCCGAATGATTCTTGTGTAAACTTTAAGACTTCTTGCAAGTTTGCGTGTTTAAACTTGTTTTGGGATACAGATGACGATAAAATTTAAAACTTATCAAGATAAAGATAGAAACTTATTTGATACAAACCTCATACTATAATCAACAGTTATCAGCTTCGACCCCAGTCTTGCCAGATTCTTTCTACGATATGGCGACGTGAGTATATCTTAAATCTTTTTGAGAATGGAATAGTGGGGTGGAATACAATGGGATTTAAAAAGTGGTTGGAGTCGAAGTGATGTCGTAGAGCGTTAATTTCTAGTAAGCTCTTAGTACTCATGGTAAGAAATTGGACTAGCACGCTGAAAAGATATTAAAATCAGTCAATCCTCGGCAAAATCAAACAACGGCAGTCAGAGAACTCGTCATATGACCAAAGTTATATAGTGAAAAGCGGTATCAAGTGTTCATAAATGGATAAGAATATCCTGCCTTGCGAGCGACACTGGCTTCTGTCGTCGTGTAATGATAAATACCAAAACAGTAGGTTGGACCAAAGAGAAATGAATGAATGACATAAGGTTTAATTTCGTACTATTCTGCCTACTAATATAGGTCTGAAATGACAGCACCAACCACAGACAGTGTATATAGGTATACTATTTGGTGAATGATTAATTGCAAGTACTTTCTAAATACAACACTGTCATTCGTCTGAGTAACGACATATTTATGTGCACTAGTATCAACCCAAACTTTTGATTTTGATTTTTAACATTTCCAAATTTAAAATTGGATGTTAAATGTCGCTAGCCATGTCCGTTCACATTTGCTACAGTTTTATATCTAATTAATTTGTATCCATGAAATCTCAATTCGTAAATTATTTACACAGATATTACACTTAACTTGGATTAATTAATATCATTTTGAAAAAGCTTGATCTTTAAAAGAAGTACTACTTATTCAACTCCCCGCCTGTAGTACTGTACATTTAAACAGTAAGTGTGCATGGGGTAATGTAATGAAAATGGGATTACTCGAAGTGTTTTTATTACGAATTAATATAACATGTATCAATTCGAGGTTGTGTTTAATTTTATGGCCATTTACATGCAGAAATAAATGCACTGCTAAACAGGTAGTCTCGGTCACCCAGAACCCCCTAGTTTTCAACGTACAGTCTGGGCCCGTTGTCAATATTTGACGAAAAGTCCATTGCCCATGCGTAACCGGGAGTATGGTCTTTAATGTATCTTTGGCAACGTCAAGTAAGAGTTGTGCCTCTTTCTGCAATAAATCCCATAATTCTTGCATTAATATTATAAACAAACATGAATCGTGACGACGAATTAGGATTAATTAAAAAAAAACATATGGCCCATGAAGAGAGAAATTTTACAATAAAAAAAACCTAAGAGGGTTGGATATTGAACTGGTAATGCAATCAAATGGATTTTTTGAAATGGCATTTTTAAATTAATTTAATGGGCTTCAACATCTTGTTTTGTGACTAGTTACCTCCCTTAGACTTTGTCTATGATAATGTAAAAGACCGGATAATCTAGCCGACGACCAAGTTTTTTCTCAAATGATGACAACGCATCCAGACTAATATTTGTAGAATATTTTTCTGGATGATAGAGACTATTCAACAGGGTGGTTTAATCGTTTATCCTTGTAAGTCACGTGATGTCCAAATATGGGCTATTGTATGTTACTATATATATATATATATATATTAAAATTTTATCTCGCAAACTTGTGGGCGTTATTATCATGTGACTGTGTGTGCACTGTATGCTTATACGTGAACACCGTTTGATACAGGCGGGTAAAAGCTTGTAGATTCCCCCCTTTCCGTCAGAAGCGATGTCAGAAAAACAACCCATACTAGGTGGGGCTCCAGCCGTTGGGTGAGTTCATATATTAGTAGATTTTGATTGAGCATTAATTTATTTTGTTGGCCTACACGGAAGTATTTTTAGATTTCTATGTGCATGCTCAAGCAACAAAATTTCCCGACAGAAATTAATAAGATGTCTTGGGCATGATGTATTTTAAATTGTGATTCATTTCATTGCATCACAAATGCAACGTCCTTATATATATATATTGTCCGATAATATATACGCAGCATATTGGTGTAAACTTTTGCTATACTGAATGCATAAAACGCATTGCTTTTGAAGAATTACAATATCGCTTAATGCTATTATATTGCAGTACCATTGTAATAATTGAAAATCAAGGCGTCACGTGTATTCAGTATGATAACATTGAATATCTTAATCTGTCCACCAGTCACACTTCTTGCACGTGTCTATAATTATAGACTGGATAATGTATTATAAAAACGGGTGTAAAAACGGAATGCATAAAACGCATTGGTTTTGAAGGATTACAATAACGCTTAATACTATTATATTGCAGTACCATTGTAATAACTGAAAATCAAGGCGTTACGTGTATTAAGTATGATAACATTTATCGTACGTGTCTATAATTATAGACTGGATAATGTATTATAACAACGAGTCTATGCTGTGTTGTTTTGTATATTTTCAGTACAGGGTATGGTGGTGGTGCCCCAGCAGGGGCTGTTCCCGGTGCGCCTCCAGGTAGTTGAAATCTAATATATTCCATTATTATAAACTTGTCATTTTAGAGCATTATATTTCTATCTCTAGCGCCAGCACTGCGCTTGATATGGTTATGATTTTACTTTAGATGATTGGTACATGACTTCTATCCTTTAACTTCTTATTCGCGTGCGCGTTGTATCATGAGGTCTGTCATTGAGTCAACTGGCGTGGTTTTGATTCCCCGGTTGTACGTGACAAGGAGTAGGGTCGCCTGTCCATCTTATTCGGGAGCAACAGATGTTGGCCGAAAAGGTTCATCCGGACTTCCCGGTGTGATTTACACTTGTCAGTGGGGGAGGGCCTGACAAGGGCAGTTGTCTAGTCGCTCGGAAGGGAGGTCCCGTGTACACATTGGCGTGCACGTAAAGATCCATTGGGAGTTGAATGTTTCACTTTTAGTTCTTTGAATCGGTTCTGGATGACAACACTGGTTTAAACTTCATATAAGACTTCTTAAATAATATTTAATTACCAGATTCCTTGTCTTGTAGCAGTCTTGTTTCCAGCTCGGCTCTCTGGCCAGGATTCGAGATCGGCGCTCTTGTTCTAGCCTTAACCCAAGGCGCTCATAGCCTTCACTGAATAATCTTCTTTTGATTCCTGCTTAAATCCCGCTTCTAGACAAAGGATCTCACAAGATTACACATCTGGCTAATGTTGCCAGATTAAGCGTTCAGTACAGATTGCTTTACAAGACAAATGGCATTACGAAAATGGGCCAGCTATATATATAGAGAGAGAAAAATGGGGTTTAACGTCCACTCGACACAAACTAGGTCATTTCGGGACTAATATATGGTTTAATTTTATTTCAATAATTCGCTTGCGCGTAGGGGTCTTTAGCAGTGGGAGGAAACCGGAGGACCCGGAGAAAACCAACGAGGTTGGACAGGTGACCCTACTCCTTGTCACGTACAACCGGGGATTCGAAACCAAGCCAGTTGACTCAATGACAGGCCTTATGATACAGCACGCACGTGCTAACCATTCGGCCATCCAACCTACCGGGCCAGCTATAAGTTTATAATATGGTAGTGACTAATGAGTGTCATCTGGACAACCACGGGTGCCAATAGCCGACATAAGGATATTTTAATCAATTCTGCTTTCATGTGCCAAGATGGCACGATAACTATCCATAACATCTGTCACTTTGTAACATGGAATTGGATATAAGAGTAAGCCGTAGCGCCACTGTCCGGGCAAAATTTTCCTCATAGCATACTGTATGGCGTATGCCCGTCCTCATTAGCCCAGTCGAAGCAGAACAGTAGGACGTTAAACTCCATTTCATTTAATTTCAATAGTATCTTATTCTTAGCGGGTACACCAGAGAAGTCGGAGAAACCCAACGAAGTTTTGTAGCCGCCTTTATTCCTTGTCGCGTGCAACTGTAGAAGCGGATACATTGAAACTGTTTTTGATCATTCGACCAAATAACCCTCCAATTAAATGTTTAGGATCCGTCTTTGGCCTTCCATAACTTTTTAAATCTCATTTTTAGGGGGTGCCCCGTCGACATACCAAGGTCAGATGCCTGCTGCGGATGTTAAAGATGATCCTAATATGAAAGCTCCCGGACCTACTGCCCCACCTCCAGGTCAACTAGAAGCTGTGGGAGGTTATGAAAACATCGGTTTTAATGCCTGTAAGTTTGCTACATTAGTTTGTTTTAGATAATATAGACAATCATAACAGATGATATTTCAATATTTTGCTTTGTAGTCACTTACGAACTTCTTCGTTTGTTTTATTTTGTCCTCGCCCTCGTCTCTCCGCACATCCACTCTGAAGTTACCGTCTGAATTAATACTTCATGAAGCGATTTGACAACCTTTACGGGCGCCTAGATTGACAAGGCCGCTTGTGCGTATGTTTAGTTGCCGAGGTATATATTATAATTTATTAACGAATCAAATTTAAAGTGATCTGATTAATACACATACTGAACAGAACTTAACAATATCAAGATGGAATTGCCCGTATATCAGTTAAGAATAAGCTAGCCAATTCACTTCACTATATAATATGAGTTCTGATCTTTAGCAGTTATATACTTGACACCGACATAAGGAAAACTAATTATATATTTTGATGTTACCTTATAGCGGCACTCCCTCCACCGTCATACGACGAATCAGAACGAGGTGCACCACCAGAAAATAGAGAATTTAAAGCGTAAGTTATTTGGTAGTGTAACATGCCTTTAAGATTAATCTGTTAATCTCGAGAGAGAGAGAGAGAGAGAGAGAGAGAGAGAGATAGAGAGAGAGAGGGGGGGGGTGAAAATCTACGTAGTTATCAGGCGACCCTACTCCTGGTAATGTTTCAAACCCGAGATCGAATCCATAAATAAATAAAAAGCCGCATGGTCCACAGCGAGCGCGTTGATCCATTAGACCCCACCCGCCACCAAGGAACTCAACGGAGGAAAGGCACTCTGTGGCGGACCTTACGATTTAAAAACCAACCCATCCACCTAACTTGTCTAAAGAGACAAATATTCAAATTTATTAGTAATAGAAAAATCAACACCAATCCTTTTCCTGTAACCATTTCATATGTTTGTTTCACATTTATTGTATCCTTGTTTCAATTTGTTTATGAGGAAGTATTTTGACTAGTCATTCAATATTAAATATGTGTTTTCTAATTTTTGTTTGCTTTATTGTGTTTTCACGAACAAGAACTTTGAATATGCCATTATAATACAGTCAAACTTGATTATGACGAATTTGCTCGTGTTATGTAGAGGTCAGCCCTGGATCCCAGCATAGAACCAATTTGATAATGAGAAAAAGTTTGTGATTATCAGGGGGTGAAAAGAACGTTGAAAATGCCTTTACATGTTCAGTTAAACAGCTTTATAAGCACCAATATATATAAAAAATGGAAATGTCTTTACATGTTCAGTCAAGCTTCTTTATTTTAACCAAGTTTCCTTGAATATACATTTACAATGTAAACTTCTGTTATAGTGTACCAACAATAACAGAAGAAGAGGCTAGAGAGGCACTGCTATCATTTGTAGCAGAACATTGTTGTTATGGCAAGAAGGCAGCACAAGAAATGAACTACACAGATTTAAAATCAACCAGCGCCTTTCATGTAAGTTGTAACATTCTTTTTCGTATTGTGAGTATCGTTAAAATAAAGAATTCAACCGAATAAAATATCTGTAGATAATGGAATGTCGTCAGATCAAACGAAATTATGAATTTCGAAATCTAACTGTTGTAGCATTACATGAAGAAAAGTGTCTTTGGGGCCAACGAAATTTAAATAAACCATTTAAAAAAATATTCATGCATTGGAACTTGAGGCAGTACAGCATAATCGGGAAATGATGTATTTATATGGGGTAGCCTAATAAGAAAATATACGACAATCTTGTATAATACAATCCTTGCATGTAATTCAGTCCAAGCATTTAAAAACAACTGTTAAAAAATATATGTTTGTCGTCTTTGCATGATACTAGCCCTTTAATCATTCCACATTTACAGAGTACTCTGTAGTGGCCACCAGTTTCTTCGACTTTAGAACACGGCATTGGTACAGATTCCAATATATTCTAGATCTTCCACCTGAAGTTTAAAGCTGCTTATGAAAACTGGAATGTCGGTTTAAGTGTAAAGTTTTGAAATTTCTTTTTTGTGCGATGTGACATTAAATCTTTTTTCGCTGTCTGCGAATAACGAACCATTACCACTATGTCTGTGTCACCAATGACATTACCTTAAAGAATAAAAATAGACCACATCTTGTTTTCAGTATACGTTAGAAACATTTGGTGAGGGTAGGACAACGGCTTGGGCGTATGAACCTTTTATTGGTAAGTTTGGGAGTTCTTAATCACGTTTTGTTTCAAAATTCTATAAGCCCACCATTGACACATGCAAGTTGGCTTTTAATTGGGGCTCATGTACACATGCAAGTTGAGTCTCATGTGGTCTGAATACCAATTTTAAAGGATTTTCTTTTAGTTCGGTTTGTTTTCCATAAAGAACGAGGGTCTCGCTAAAAGCATTAATCTGTTGGATGTGATTTCTTGTAGATACGGGTATATGATCCATTTTGTTGCATTTTGAAAATAAATTAGTCAAACTATCTAAATCCAGCTTCTCTAAATAAATAAATACAGTAGAAAGAATCTTTTACACTGACGCAAATTCAAGTATTGCCATTCTATTCAAATGTGCTGCTTGTGGAATTGACAACGTCCACTTTATTGTAGCTTTGTTAATCTATTATAGGTCAAACTATTGATGTTCCTCAGAATGGTCCAGCCCCCGGTCCTTGGGATATTCAAGCACAGCCAACAGCCATGTTTCAGAATGGTAAAATTGAGATAGAAGTTCCTCACACAGCTGGTGTTAAGGTCTGTCACTGTATTTATTTGGTGATTTCGGGGCTGGGTGAGCGAGTGGTTTAACGGGTGAGTTTAAGGTCTGTCTTGCAGTCAAGTGTTGTGGTTTTGAACCCAGAATTGTGCGTAACAATGGACAGGGTCACTTATCTCACCGTTCGGTTGCTTTCTCCGGTATTCCCGTTTTCCGTGCAGCGGTTAAAAAAAAACCCTGATCGCGTGCGAATTATTGAAATGCAAATATATCATAGAGTCCCTAAAAGACCTAGTCCACATATATATATATATATATATATATATATATATATATATATATATATATATATATATATATATATATAGATAGATACTTCATCATTGGCTATATATATGAATGTAATGCGAGCTATGAGATCTTGCTCGGACAGTGACCTTTCCCCGGCCCTATGTCCAGTTTTACATGATACCTGACAGTTGGTTTATCATTGCAACTGAGAATACCCATCCCCCTCCCACACTTCACACCTTTAAGAACGCTGTATTTATCCTCAAAGTCGGGTTATCCAATACAATTTGGAGCTTCTAGGATTATATCCCAATATTTTAACCAGCTTTGGAAAAGAAAAAAATCCATAACAACTATGGAAATTATTCATAATTGTTGTGCTTCTATTGTTGTAGCCGTGTCATGAGTGTCTTGCTACTGGTCGAATCCGATGTTTTCGTTGTCAAGGTCGTGGAAGAGTAAGTTATCTATGTTTTTTTTTCTTTTCGATTGATGATATCTATCCTTCAAGTTTTAATATTATGAAAAAAAAGTCATCTTCCAGCTTACAACTGTAAAAAGTCTATCAAGTGCATGGATCATTTTCGTTTATGGCAAACATTTTGCTTGTTATTGTCTTCTTGTAAAGTAATACTCATTACGGTATTAATTTGAATTAAGTCAAACAGGAAAATTTCGTCTATGGATTGTATATTATAATCTGAACGGACTTATTCTTATTTCAACTCGACGATATTGTCCTTTACCCGATCAGAAATTTCCAAATAAAAATATTCAGCTATTTGGCTATACTGGGTATGTTGGTATAACCACTAGTTTCGACAAGTATATAGACATTGTTAACTAGACACGTACGTCGCCTAGGATTTGGGGATTTGTAGCCAATCTCACATGGAAACTGAAAGTTTTTATTTCTTCGAAAATGAATCACGCAATCTAAATAAAATATAGATCTATATTTCGTTTCGTTTTTTATACTTTCGATTGCCTACACTACATGTAGATCAACAAATCATAGTGGGAGTTCTATGACTTCAAGTACCAAGCAAGCGACATTTGACCCGATTACGTCAGTCATTCGATTAACCATGTATTAGCGACCGCCATGTATTTTTTATCTACTTTTGCTTTGTTTTGATTTCTATTGCCGCTAATGTCTACTTCCGCGCAAAAAAGGTCAAACGCTCGATTCGACAGACCATTTGATTGGCTGACCCCTCATTTCAAGCAGAACACGAGTTAAATAACAACGCTTCCAGATCCAAGTGTAGTAAAGACAAGTAAAATCGATTTTTTTAATTATAAAAACGAAACGAAATTGGATCTGTGTTTTAATCACGGGGTTTCAGATAGTTGCATAGGATGAGTATAATGGTTTACAAGAATTTTCGCTCAGAATTAAGCAATACTTCTGGCTGGGACTATAACCCCTTAAGCAAGATTCTGTGTGATATTGTTTTATATGATGTTCATTATTCTTATAGTTACATTGTCATTCTTGTAATGGAAGTGGTAGAGAATCGTATTATGAAGATGGGGAACGTAGACATAGAACATGTTGTCATTGTGATGGTTCGGGTAGACGAAGGTATGCTTTCAGTGAATTAAGTTCAATATATCCTACATACGTAACCATCAATTGGTACCATCAAACCACACCTATTAAAATATGTATTGTTGGCAACATTAAGTCTCATATGTTTTACTTCAAGAGAAATTCAGTTTACAATCTACAGCTTTTAATGAGTCGCTTTTATATAGTAAACTTCAGTGGATGAGGGCTGTAAATATACGATACTTCGCAGTTCATTGGGGGGTAATTCAACGAAACTGTAATAAGTTTAGTCGGTCGAACGGGTTACCTAAATACTTGAAGAAACATGTAAACACCAAGCGCCATTACCTAAATAAAATGATTACGTCAGAGCACCGTTGTCTTTAGCAGTTGGAGGAAAGCAGGATAGATATTACTATAATTTTGGTGTCAAAACATTTTAAATTGCTATTATAGTATACTGCATGGCGTATACTCATCTTAGCTTGTTTGGTGCAGAATAGTCAGACTCAGACGTTAAACCCCATTTCATTTTCAAACTTTGAGATCAACAAAAAACTTTAACCAGAGATTAGTATGATTTTTCTGTTATTTTATTCATGCGGTTTGTTGAAATGTATATTAATTTGTAAGATTTTTGGGCTATTCTACTCACTTATATGTTAATTTGTATATTTTGTATAGATGTTATACGTGTGATGGTTATGGTATGATAACATGTACAGTATGTGATGGTAGAGCTAGTCTAAAATTTTATATTAAATTAACGGTGCTATGGTAAGAATAAGATATTGTTTTAATGTTTATCGATGTCCTTTGTGTCATATATGTTCGGTATCGCGTGTTGAATAACCTACTCAATATAACGTGAGTATACCTTCCGATTTCTCGGGAGTCACGCGTGATTCAGCGAGAAATGCACAGGCTATCTAACCAGGAGATTACAGTTTCCATCCAGGTCGCGAGAGTTCCGCAGGATTTTCTCGGTGTGATTTCACCTTGTCCTTGGTGCAAGGTGGGCGCCGGGTAAGGAACATCGCAGGGCCGTAACTAGCTCAGAGCAACGAGTGGGGCGGGGAAGTGTTCTCAGGGGTGCTGTAAAATTGACGGACAATCCATATCTATCTTTTTTGTGGTCGACAGTTTTTCACCGGGAGTTGGGGGGGACAAAACGTTTGCACCTGCGCCCCCCCCCCCCAGTTACGGACCTGGAACATCGTCTAGTCGTTCGAATAGCACGAAAAATCGAATTTCGTACACACTGGCTTGTACGTATAAATGCCCTTAGCAATTTGTATTTGAAATAAAGAATAGTACGTTGTACCGATGTCCGGGCAAAATTGCCCGTATTCATTATCCTGGTTGTGCAGAAAAGTAGGCCATTAAACACCATTTCATTTTTCGGCAACATGCTTGCATAATGAACTGACTCGCCCAGATCGTCTTCCCGTAATTTTTTAGATTCGCTTCGAAAATCAGATCCATTTTACTTTATAATTCAACTGAGTATATTGCCCCTTAATAACATTTGCATAAATATCTAAATCAGTTCAGTATTTTGAATTAAGAAACCGTGGCATCATCTCTTATAATTCACTTACCGAATGTGAAACTAATTGAAATTGGGGAATATGATTGTGAATAAACATATTTTATAGGACCAATCATTTGGAGGATCATATTGTAGAAAGAACAGCATTACCAGATGAACTAATCCGTGGTGTTTCAGGACAAATTTCTTTTGAAGAAACAGTTCCTAGGGTAGGTAACAATTTATGTACGTAAATTGTTTCTATGGCATTTATAGCACGACAGTTATATGTATACTTCACCCGATGGGTGTGGTGGGGTGAATTGACTACAGCGTTGCGCTGTGAATCTTCGGTGTATCACAAGCACGTTCGCTCTTTCGTTCAAACGATTAAAGATAGTCACCTGTCACTAAGAACAGCGCAATTTCGTTGTTTCTGCCTTTTTACCTTTTATAAGCAAACGAAATAGAAGATTTAATTGTACTAAATTAGTCTGGAAATGTAAAAAATGTGCAGTCAACTCAATTTCTATTTATTCCAGGTATGGCCAATTGTTCATTTTCCAGATCAAGAAGTGAACATGGCGTCAAAGAACCTTGTAGCTAAACATGCGTCTAGCTATGCAAATGAACGTATTTTAATGCAGGTATTTTGGAGTTTTATTAGTTCTGAGAACATATTCAATGTGGGGGTCTTAATTCTCACCCTACCTATTCAACTGAGTTAAGTAACCATTGCTAAGGTGTTTTTTATAACACGGAAGACACGCTGGCTCAGTGAGTAAGATGGTGGTTCGCTAATAAGGAGGTCCTAGGTTCGCTCCCGATGTTGGCCGAGACAGCTCCTCGGGTACTTCCGGCGTGGTTTCCCCTTGTCAGTGGTGCAAGACCCGACACGGATGGGACGAAAAACCGAGGTCCCGTGTACACATTGACGTGCACATAAAAGAACCCTTGACAGTTTAAACCCGAAAATATTCCTCCTAGAACATTGTTTACGGCGTATGTCCGTCTTCATTAGCCCAGTCGGTGCAGAAAAGTAGGACGTTAAACCCCATTTCATTTCGTGTCTATAACTTTTTACCTTAAGTTAGCTGGCACTCGTCTGTGTTGAAGAGTAGAAATTGTTACATGTCGTCTTCTTTATAGTATCATAGTATCATGCACGTTAATGCACCTTACCTTCCCCTCAAACAATGTAGTTGTATTACATCAATTCATTTATACAACTAATTCTAAAGATGTCGGTTGTTTCAGAAAAATGCTTATCTGACGAAACACTGGCTTTATTAACTCAGTCGGAGCTGAAGAGTAGGGCATAAATCCCATTTCATTTCATTTATCTGACGAAATCACACAGTTAAAAACACCAATTTATGATGTTTTATTTTTTTTATTATTAAACAGAGACATAAGGTTAGAATAATTCCTGTAACACAAGCCTATTACAAGTGGAAGGATAGCGATGCAAATTATTTTGTGTATGGATTTGAGAAAAAAGTTTTTGCGCCGGATTACCCACAGAAATGCTGTTGGGGTTGTTCCATCCAGTAATACACAAGTATCCATCAAATTACAGCGCATGAATACACTGATAACAAATGTATGTTTGCTGTTCAAGTTTCTCCCCCAAAATCAACAAAAAACAAGATTCTGTGTAATTTATTATCATTTATATATTTGTGCTATCAATTATCTTTCTTGTGTATGTTGAAAACAGAGTTATATACAGATATTTAAAAATAAAATAACATGCTCAAGTCAGATCACCTTAAACCGCTGATCAAAAATAGTCATCTTCATAATGTTACGGTTTTCCGTTACGGTAAATGGGCTTAGTAGTCCAACTACATAGATTTGTAAAGAGAACGGTGATTGTTGTAATAGTTGAGTCTTGTCTATCATACACAATATCATATAATAAGTACAAGCTACGTCTGAAGTGTACTAAACTTGTACTTGGCATTTAAAAAAAACACGTACAAACTATCACTCTTCTAGAATGCAATTATTTCAAAACAAGTGGATTTCTTATTTAAAACACCATTTATGATCTATACAATTGCGAATATAATTCCCCAAGAATATGTCGATATGATGACTAATTTATTGTGTTGTATGACTTTGTTATTCTTTGATTTAATAAAAGTTTGTAAATTTTATATAATGCCGTCTGTTTGCATTAATTGTTGTTTTGTGTATTGTGTGTTTGGGAGGGGGTAACTTGCAAGTACGATTCCGAATCCTACTCCGGGCGCTTTGGTGTAGGCTTAAGGAATTGGACGGGCAGTCATAAATACAGATGAATCCGGGAATAATTTCGTGAAAATATGCAAACGAGGATATATTTTGTTAATCAATTATATCAAGATACACCCTAGTCCAATTATTATGTGACGTGTTGTGTCTGGGTGTCTTGATTTGACTCGGTCACCAATACTTCAAACACGCCGAAGCAGATTACGAGTCTCTGTAATTCCCCCAGCCACATTACTTTTGTCCGTATAGTGAACTATGCATTCCACCAGCCAAATCAGAATCTGAACATTTTTTTCTATTTTACAATCTGTATGTATGGTGATTCAATTGTTTAAGTGGTTCCCACTGAGAGGTAATTTACACAAATCACAAAGATCAGGGGCGGATCCACAATTTTCAGAAAGGGGGGGGGGGTGCTGCCCCAATTGGGAGTGCAAAGCCTGGCCCTTGGTAGGCGGACTGACGGTCAAACAACCAAGTCACCAACCGGCTCGTTTCGGAGTAAATTACGATTTCCAAGCTAAACAACATGAGTTTCGGTACCTACCTACCAGCTGAGGGGTGATCATTGATGCCGCATTCCCTAAAAAAATGGCACCGCGCCAGAGATCATGACATCAAACGAGCGGAATCAAGAATTGACGGAGATTGGTTCATTTTAGCGTCCATGTCACCACATCCAAAATTCACTCAGTCAAATCCCTCAGTGCGTGGATTCACAAACAGCATACATATCGGATATTTTAGGGCATATTTGTCGATGATTTTGTCATAATCGAGATGAATATCTGTGGACAACAAGCAGTACCAATGCGTTAAACCGCCCCCCCCCACCCCATGGTGGAACGATATGACGACTTGACAAACCGCAAAGTCGTGCGCTCAACACTACCACTTGTGGCTGAATAACTGAGAACAGTCCCGATTGTCGCGATATTTTCGTACAACATTTCACACCCTTCATCCCCTAACAGGTCTAACGTTTCTTTGAGCGTCTTTGGGAGTTCGTCTCGGTTTGAACAGTAGCGCCGCCACAATCTGTTCCTGCTGGAAATTGTAAAGAGACGGAAGATTATCATGATAATACATGTACTCTAGTAATTTCATTTCTGTGTGGTGATCCAGATGTTGGAAGTTGGAAGGGAGAAGATAGAGGGCTTGAATCGCATCGTGAGACTTGCCTTTGAAATGATCTTCTAGTTGGGACACAACATTATCAACAAAAGGGATGAAAACAGATCTTCGGAAATATTCTTCTATGGATTCCGCTGGCACATTACTCAGCTAAGTTTGGCGCCCAGTGGCCCTTGGCTTTACAAGCGGCGTCGCGGCAGATTCAGCCATCTTGGAACAAGTCTTGAGTGCCAAGACAAGGGGTATTTCGGGATCCCCAAGCATACCCTTAACATTTCTGGGCAACTGACCCATAATTTTCTAGCGAGAATTTTATACATTGTTAGCTACTTAATGTAGTCCGACAGAACTATGGCTGAACCTGGAAATTGTTCTAGCCTAACATTTAAAACTAATTCAAGAATCTCTTAATGAAACTACATCACATAATTTATCAAACCAAAACTACTTGCAACTTTTTTTTTTATTTTCCAATTTCAACATTTCTTTTTTTCAATTTTCTAAATTTATAATAGTTTTTGTACAGAGCACTCTTTTAAGTCTAGTATATCGTCCTTGTGTGTGACAATCTAGACTAAATTAATAGATATAATTATCCAGTATTAACATTGACTATATATATCTTGATACATTAAAGAGCAGCAGCACCAGAAATAATTTCAATAAGTTCTCTAGTAATGACGGCTTGTCGAGTTCTGTTATAAGTCATCTGTAGTTTGTCAATCATCTCCCCTGAAACAAGATGAAGTTAAACATACATTATGCAAGAGCTAAATCTGTCAATTGCAGGTCTTTCTTTAGGCCTGAAATGTTATCTAAATTATTAATTAGTCATTAATTAACTTATTCAGACCATAATCAACTCTCCATGGCATCGCTAGCCTGCGATATTTACTGGATTAGAACCCGTCTGCTGCTTTTAATTAAATAAAAAAGTGGATAATGGAGACTATGATTTTTACCGCACCACTTTAGTAATGATGATCGAGGCTAGACCCAAAATTCAATCGCTGAATACTTGTTTCAGGGTGGATCAATTTGACTGAAATTTTCAACAAATTCCCTTTACATTATCTAGTTTTTAACTATTATAGTGAAAACTACCAGCTCTTTATCTAATCTCTCATAATGTATCTTTAAGTTGTCAATAATAAAACAAAAATCACAGATATATGAACTACATGTACTTGAAAGAAAGGCATTTTGAATATAACCCTAACCTTTAATATCAATAGAATTAGAAGAAAGCCATGCAAACCATGTAAATACATCCACACAGTAGCTATGTCTCAATGGCAGCTTATCTCAAAACATTGTGACCAAATTTGATATGGATCTAGGATCCATCAAGAAATATAAACTCTATTGTGTGGGCATTTAAAAAAAAAAACAGAAGCAGTTTTGCTGTTAGTTACGATATTGTATTGATTTGCGTCATTTAAATTTTAAATTCATTACAAATTCGCTGCAACGGGATATAAGCCAAAAAATCTCAAGGAATTGTCATTTTAAATCTGAATTTTTTATTTCTTGATGGATGTTGTGGTTGAGCATTTATTATTATTTAGTGTAAAACATACCGGCATTCTTACTGGCTCCCTCCATGGCAGTCATTCTACTGCTCTGTTCACTACAAGCACCTTCCTTTAAACCATAATAAACGAGGCTAGCTAAAGCAAATTCATTGTAGCTTTTTAAAACATCTTCATCTATACTGTCGTACAATGTTAATTTCTCTGCAGTAGCTACAGACTCTTCCGAAAAAATTGGTTGAGCTGTTGTGTTATATGAAACAACACTCCTAAAATAAAAGATATAAACACCGTTTAGAACATTCTCTTTATTTTCACATGAAGAAAATACATGTATACAGTGTTTTTAAAAGCAAGACACATAAAACCAGTAGAGAATGCAGGATAATTTTTTTTTTACTGAAGGGTCCGCCATTTCTTTGAGGTAAAGAACTCAACACATCATTATAATCTATTTGATTTTAAAAATCAGAACGACGACTAACTCGGTGGTGCTAGGTTGTATGGTATAGCACAGTGTCCCTTCCCCTCAATACACCACTGCTTACACATAGTAATGAGCAAACTTCACAACTTTTATATGGACATGTGTATATATATATGTAAGCATATTCGTCTCAAAAATAGTTAAAAATTTAAAATCTATGAACAAAGGAAACAAGCCAACAGCGAAGCTGATGTCCCAAAATAAATAGTTGACAGACAATAATCAATTGCACATTTATCATTTTGAAAACTATTGAGCAATCGAACTGATTATCTATACTTAGTAGTCTAAGCAGAAAATGTTCACAATCAAAATCAGTAAAGGTTTTGAAGTACCTGATAGAGAAACTATACACTAAGTTTCATCACTCTCCATCATTTGGAATAAAAGTCATCTTGTCCCAAAGCATCGACCAATGAAATTGTTTAGCTCTGCTTAGCTTTATCGGAAAATGTTAATCATTCAACTCAGTCAAGATATTCACCTAATGAACATCTACATCAAGTTGAAACACCCTTAGCCAATTAGCCAAGTCTCTGCTTAACCGTAGTGGAAAATACCCATGATCGAACACTGTCAAGGCATTCACTTAATAGACATCTACCCAAAGTTTGAACATTTTACCTCAATTAGTAGAAGTAGAGTTATTGTGTTCCAAAGCCTGCCTGCTTACCCAGAGCAGAAAATGCTCATTATCGAACTTAGTCAAGGTATTGGTAAAAGGAAACTATACACCAGTTAAAGTTATAGTGCCCCAAAGCATCAACCAATCAATTTGCTTATCTTCAATTCCATCAAGGCATTCACATAAAAAGCACCTACACCAAATTTGAACATTCTAGCCCAATTAGAACTAGGAGAGTTATTGTGTCCCAAAAAGTGTGACAGACCCATTTTAATAGTCCCCAGCTTTCTTAGAAAGGTTGGGGACAATTAGAGAAGACAATATCGACTTTTTCATCTGGATCACCAAGCTTTTAGAAAAGCAAACATGATTCAGAATGTCAACTAATTCAAACTTTTAGAAAGAAATTGGTAACTAACATAATGCAGCAATTGAAATGTAATTAACAATGCTTCATACAAAGAGATAAAGTAACCAGAACATCTTGTAAAAAAAAATTAAAAATAAATCTTACTTGAAAACGTTGAAATACATTGTTCCAAAGTCATACTTGTATCCAGATTCCATGATTGTTTTTGCGATGAAACTAGCATCAGCAAATGTGGGTGGAGTTTTACCAACATTGTTAAAAGAATAGAACATATTCTGATTAAACAATCTGAAAAAATAATATACAATATTAGGCATGCCAACTCCCATATTACTAATACCATATAGTAGTCTAGATGAGTATCACAACCGCAGTTTGTTATGAAATGTTTTGCAATGCGTTTCCGATTTAAAACCATGTTGATGTAACAGAATATCTAGATCTACATCTAGTTTCAATTTGTCGCTATTCAAATTATGGTGCATTGCTATTCATGTACGTAGTCAGATTTGTAGTAAGATCACTATAATTTAAAATAGTTATACATAGTCTACAAAGGCGTTTGGGGGGGGGGGGGGGGGAGGGGGGTCAAGAGCATGTGTTTAGATCATGTGGCAGACGGGGGCTCTGTACCAAGGTTGTACATGACAAAGAGTAGAGCCACACTCCCAACCTCCTGGGTTACCTACAGTTTCATTGCACTGCAAAAGGCCCATATGCACAACAAATTACTGCAATAACATTGTAAATGAAATGAAATGAAATGGAGTTCAACGTCCTACTGTTCTGCTCCTAACCTGGGCTAATGAAGACGGGCATAAGCCATACAGTGTGCTATGAGGGAAATTTTGCCCACACAGCGGCACTACAGCCTACTCTTATATCAAATTCCAACTGCCAAGGGATCTTTTACGTGCACGCCAATGTGTACACGGGACCTCGGTTTTGCGTCCCATCCGAATGACTAGACAGCTTTCCTTGTCAGCCCCCCCGTCTTGCATCACTGACAAGGGAGAACCACGCCGGAAAATCTGGATGAACTTTCTCGGCCAATGCAGGGATCGAACACCCGACCTCCAGGCTAGCGAGCGTCTTACCCACTTAGCCACGTGATCCCCACAATAACATTGTACCATATGTTAGTTCCAAAATGTATCAAGCGATCATTAAACACTATTTTCTCTATTTATGTTGTCATATAGCCTTCACAGAAGCTATGTAATGTGTATAACATAGCAGACGACAGCCGTATAAATGTCAGTCGGGCTAAATATTTGCTAGAACTTGTGTAGTATAGAAAATCAGAACTATAAAGACGGAACAAAACAAAATCATAAATCTAATTAGATTTGAATGACCTTTGCAGTATAATTCAATGATCAATCCCACTCTCCAAATTAAATAGGTAACATTTATTGTAGTGATAGTAATCATGGACGGAGTATATACCTTTGTAAAACAAGTTTTGTTTTATCGCCTATACAAACTATCTTAAAGTTAACACCCGGCTTCTTTTCTGCAATTTCTGCTTTAATGGCTTTAACAACATTTGAATGGATACCACCACACAAACCACGGTCAGATGTCATAGACACAATTAAATGGTTGGGTTTACTGTCATCTTGTGTAACCTCTGCCCGATCGTAAAAGGCTAAAATATAGAAAGTTGTATTAAAAAAATCTGCATGTATGAAAATTTATGTATGGTTCTTCTCTATAATAAATAAGATAGTGTATAGAGCCAGGGTTTTTAACTACTTTTATATGTAAACTGTAACTAACAACAGGGGCTATTTTACATGCACTGGTACTGTACAATATCCATTGTCGTTCCTCTATGACAATTGTTGAATTATACCACATTGTAATAGCAAGTGCAGGAGGACCGGACCATACATAATTCATAAACAAACACCCATACGAGAAATTCATAGACACAAGAAGACCCTTTTTATAATAATATACTCACACTGTGTTCCCTTGCCATACGGTCTAGCAGGTCTAAGCTCACGTTCAGCCCGAGCATATTTGGCAGCTGACACCATCTTCATGGACTTTGTAATTTTTTGGATGTTGGTAACAGATTTCAGTCTGATACGAACTGAAGAAAAAAAACAATGAAACAAAAAATTGAATTGTCGATTAAGTTTTGCACATTTGATTAACCAGATTTCAGCCTCTTTATTACTTAAGTTTGATGCGTTTTGGTTAAATTAGACTAGTGTCGTATTTGCTGTACATGGCTGGTGGAAATTAGGACTTATTTGAATTCTTCCTGCCAATCAGATAGTTTCATTCCACCTTCTGGGTTTTTACATCCATGTATGATGATCTAGACATTATTGATTCTGAAATATCCAGAGAGTGCCAAAAATCTTAACAAATGGTTCCATAGATACTTACTGTCCTTCAGTGTAGCCATGCCACGCACGTGGGTGCTGAAACAAAATTAAAAATAATCTAAAGAGGCGTTTTCAATTATATATTAGTTTCATGATGAATTATGATATCAACAGAATATTGTTGATGGGTGTATGATATGTGCCTACATGTACCCGTCTGGTTCTACTGTTGTATTATGCATTAATCATTCTTACCAGTAATTAATTTTAGTCAGACAATACGATCAGCCTAGATAAATATATTTTGTGTAGTTAACCGTTATGTACGCACAATTGTGTGGAATGGATACATGTACCAACATGGTGGATATATCGTACCAAATGATTAAAACAGACTGTGATGTTCAACATTTAACATGCCAGTGCTGGACAATTTTCTGAATGGAAATTGATTTCCAGATAGACACTATCCATGTGCTTTTGCCATAATTGGAATTTTCTAATTCATTCATACTCAGTTACAGCTCCGTTGGAGACAGCTTCATCTTCAGGAGGAGAACGTTGTATTATGTACCAACATCGCAGCTAAACACAAACCCATTACTATTAGATTTATCTCAATGTTTTAAGCTATAATCATCTGACCATCATGGTAATATCCACATCAGACTAATGACCAGTGTAATATGTAATGCTGGAACTAGACCTGTCATAGACCTGGACCAGGGTGATCAAGGCAAGAGGAAAGAAAGTAATCAAGCGTCCACAGATGTATGATCAAAATAACAGATCATACCAGTCAGTACTTTTTTACAGATTGGAACTGTGTGGCCTATCTTCGAATACATGACAACTTGGACCAAAGACCACTCAAACCAGTTGATAGACCACTCTGACAAAAGTCAGAAGAACACTTCGACCAAGACAGAAGACCGCTCGGACCAAGACAGAAGACAACTCGGACCAAAGTTTTGGTTTCAATAATAAAGTGTTGGTTTAATAACTTGAGAATTGTGTTTGTTTTGATTTTACCGGTACATATGTTTTCTTTGTAGCCTACTTACCCATGTTATTATCTCATCATGCAGCACAGAAAAAAAATTTCAATCAACAAAATATCGAGAACTGAGTAGTTATTAATTTGTATACTTGTACGTATGTACTTCTGAAAAGACAATTCTTTGTGCTTACTAAATTTATTGATCTGTACTGTCTTCTATTGCAAGCGTGTTGTGGAATGCATGTCAAAGTTCAGTTTCCATTTTATCATTAAAATTGGTAGGGACTTTGAAGTGAAGTGGGGTTTAACGTCCTATTCTAACTGGGCTAGGTAGGAACTTTCAATAACCATATATGATGTGTCGTGTGAATATTTTCAAATAAATTAATCAGCACAGTATTCCTTTTTTAAACATACATTATGCAAGAGTTAAATCCTCCTATTGCAGGTTTTACTTTAGGTCTGAAATGGTATATAAACTATTAATTAGACATTTATTAACAAATCAACTCAATGGCATCGGATACAGTGGCGGCGCCAGCCGTCGGTGATTGGAGGGGCAAAGCTGGGACAAAGTCCAAGGTTAAGGGGGCAAAGGCACGAGCTTTAACTAGGGGTAGGGGGCCTCCCCCAGAAAATTTTGAAAAACAGGTTGCCAGAAATGCAGCCTGGCAGTATTTCAGGCACTGATCGATGAGGTAAAGTGTCAAACGAACGGACTTGCGAATCACGACGAAGCCCACTCAAGAGCGTCAAAGTAGGGAGTCCTCGCCCAGAAAATTCTGAAAAATAGACTGCCGGAAATGCTGTCTTACAGTATTCTGTCAGGCACCGATCGGCGAGATAAATAGATCTGACCAGATACCGTCCGTCGCCTGATCACTAGTTTATCCGACTAGAGAACAAAATGTAAAACGAACGGACTTGCGAACCTCAATGATTCCCATTGTGAGCGCCAAAGTAGCTAGTCCATTGGGGACCTCGCCAAGAAAATTTTGAAAAATAGACTGTCGGAAATGCTCTACAACATGCAAGTTTATGACTGAGTGGGGATGTGGGATTTATTCACAGTAGAAGGTATTGATTACCGAAACGTATCACAAATACTTTTTAAAATTATTGGGGGGGCAAACAGAGGACAGACCAGATTAATGGGGGGGGGCAAAACGAAAACAAAAACAGCTATTACAAATATATCACACAAATTTTCAACAGTCTTTTAATTATTCATCTGTGTCCGAAAGGTCGTCTGTGTTGAGTCCGAAATGACATGGGACCAAAATGACGTGCTACCCATTCCTAAATATGGAAGTTGACCAATATTTAGAGTGTAATGGCGACAAAAAGGCAACTGGATGGGAGAGGATGTATTTTTTAGCAGCGTGTTGTGTAGCTTATACTGACTTTAGCGAGGTAACCAAGGTCTTATTTTTTCACTAAGATGTTCCTTTACATTGTACAAGCGGTAACACGGATTGACACCCCACCGTTTAGCAGTAAAAAGTTGGCGAGTAAAATTGGCTGGGAAGCGATTTCTGTTTCGACCAGGAATCAATAGGACGGTTACTGAACGTACAGTGTGAGTGTAATGAGACCTAGATTCCGAGCTGAACTAATATTGAGTAAGCTTAATCTTTTAATTTAATTTGGTCCAAGTGATCTTCTGTATCGGACCGGGTGTTGGTCAGAGTGATCTTCTATCTTGGTCAGTGCGACTGGTTCTTCTGTCTTCCGAATGGTCTTTGGTCCGAGTTGGTCTGGTTACTATAAATTTAATGTAGCGTTTATCTAGATTCAATCCCTCGGTGACTATTAAAAAACTGTCACTATGTTAGAATGAATATATTTGAATAATTAAACTAGCATGAGCTAGAGCTACAAATCTGGTTCAACAAATCAAGTGTTGAAGTTGGCAAGGGCATTCATCCCATTCTGAAAAACCGGCTTCAAGGGCACTCACTTTTATGATGGTATAGGGCTATTGACAAAGATGAATATGATTGTAGTTTGATTTTTTTTTAAAAAACGTATTCCCATTTAAAAACATACATCCTCAAAATAAAACAATCTAAATTTGGCCTTAAACCTTACCATGTTGGCGTAAATATCTGCACCGATCGCGAAAACACGGCTTCCATCTTGATATTTTCGGGATCGAGGCTGGTTCATATGCAAGGGAAATAACTCTGATAATAGAAGCTGGAATCAAACTAGTAATTCTCTCCCAATTGACTTCAATGCTAAATTCATGACATTTCTTTGTCTATAACATGTTTTTAAAAATTAAAATTCCGATGATCTCAATCTTTATAACCACAAAGAGCTCAAGAGCTCGTCTGAATAAAAGTATTGAAGGGGGTTGATCGTTTAGATTTTTTGCTAGGCCTGGTTAAAGGAATCTAAGACAGTTACGTCATGGAAATTTAAACACTCTTCTTCGATTTTAGGCCAAAAAGTCAACATTAAATGCTATTCAAACGGGGTGAAAAGAGAGAAATAGAATTACTGTAGATAGATAGTAATTACTATCAAGTCTTCCAAAAAAACCAAAAAAAAACCCCTAAAAAACAACAATACAGTCTTTGGGTAAAAAAACAAAATATTTGTTGTGAAAAGACAATTTATTTTTATCACTAAGATCAAAAATGTTTCATTTTAAAAAACAGTCTCAGGCGGATGCCGCCAACAAAACACTCGAGCCTGCGTGTTCACGTTAGCGTCATGTGACTCATCGTGTCATCTAATATTATTATTTCGGAAAGTATTTGTTAAAGAGAAATGGGTTTAAGGTCCCCCCTTTCTGACCAATTAGGCTAATGAAGGAAACTATGACATATTAGATTTATCTTTCCCTCTTCTTTTTTTATGGCTATTCTTTTAGTTGATGGCTAGTGAGAGTTCCTGACTAAAACAAATAAATACGGATCGAAAGCATACTATAAATATATTTTTCAAAATTCATTTCTTATATGTATACGGTCCTTGATACACCTATCATATTGGCCAAGAGAAATTTAGATTTGGCCTAGACTGGGTACTCAATTTGGCACCAGACCGGGATGAAACCGCATCGGTTATGTATCTGTTTGATTCCTCGTTGCTATAACAACCGAGACTAGATTTGGTATACAAATTGGCACTGCACGCAAAGTAACCCTTAGGAAGTGCAAACGTAACAAAAAAAACCAAAAAAAACCCCAGCGACTGCCAGGCAGGATATGCCCACATTTTGCAAGAGATGGATAGAGAACAAGCTAAAAACAAAAACGATTTTTTGTACAATCAGGGTCATAATCCAGAAAGTTATGGTCTGAAATGCGCAAATATCAAAATGGACTGATATTTTTGGAATATAAAGATATATTTTACGTTTAATCAAAATCGGATAAAAATTGTGACCTCTAGAGAGTCCATAACCTTTGTATTACATACTTGTACACAATTTGCGTACAAAGAGCGGCCATTTTGTCAGGCACTTTCATTTCAATTTTCCAGAAATTCCAATCCAACCTTCATTCTGGTGGAATGGTGATATATCTAAACGGTTTTTAAAATCTGAAAAAAATTGTGACCCCTAGAGAATCCACAACCTAAAAATGTTATACTTCGACCAATCAGGGGCCATAATCCAGGAAGCGCTAGTCAATTCCATTTTGCCACCATAGCAATTTTCGAAAACCAGACAAGCGTCATCGGAACAACCAGTTTTCAAAATTATGTTCATTTTCATTACAACCATTCTCCATTCCATGTGTAGTCAAGTACCATTTATTTGGTAAATCAGCCACTAGGTTTCGTTTGGTTGATATTATATACATTTATTGATTTGCCTTTAGTACTTTCAAAAAATAAAAAAAAATAAAATAAAAAAAACCCCCACAACTCAACCTGAAATACATGTACCCTGTATTGGACAAGATCTAGCCCCTTGTTTATTAATCGCTATAAAAAAAATAAAGACAATGATTTGATGCCATTTAAATCAAATTTCTATATCGATCAATTGTTTGTTGGCAGTTTCCTTGTAGCGAAATGGACGATGTGATCTAATCTTACCAGGATTTATTGTTTTATTTTATCTTCTACAGATTATGCCGAGAGAATCGATGACAGGGCATTAAATACTAATGGATTTTTAAAAAAACTAAATCTGAATATGATGGAAGCTATTGCCGTGTTGTAACGCATTCATCCTCATGGATTTTGACATGTGAACAATAAATTAAATAAAAAGTCAAACGGAACAAAATCAAAAAAAAAAAACCCCAACAGAACAAATAAAGAAACGTCACATGTTCGGCTTACAAATGACCCTGTCTAAACTAGCATTTAATAGAACCCACTGACGTTGACTTCGATTTGATCCTGTGGCAAACAGATATTAGTATAATTCAGATATTGATATTCCGACAATACTTCGTTTATTATTAATTTGCCAAGAGAATATTCCACGTTATTCACGAGTGGGAGTAAATGCACTTCCTTAGTCAAGATGTATTCACGTTTAAAGATGCATTAAGTCATGGAATTCGCCAGTTATGAATTGACCTTTTGCAGTGATTTGATACTGACTGCGAATAAAAACACAACAAAGTCGAGTAAAAGTGCAGTTTATTACATGTTAAAACAGTTTGTGATAATCATACTTTCTTTTCATATACAAGGTAATAAAGCTGGTTTGGTGTCAGCAGCGCAGCTATGCTTTCTCAAAGATGTGACATGAAATGGGTTTAACATCCCACTTTTCTGCACCAAACGGGATATAACGTATAGTGTGCTATGAGGGAAATTTAACCTACACAACAGTGTTTCCGATTACTCTTTGTCGAATTCCAACTGTCAATGGTTCTTTTTCGTGCACGGCAACATGCACGGGACCTTGGATTTGCATCTCACTCGATGTATACCGAGGAACCTTCTCGGCCAACACCAGGAACAAACCACTAACAGTAGGGTGCCCCACCATAAATAAATATCTCGACAATTACACCACAATATCTATATATACACCAAGCCTTAAATCAGCTTCAAACATTTATAGTCACTAAATAAGCTATGACCATTTAATCATCCATAAATAATACACTGAAAGATGGTTCCGGTTGTCGGCCATAACATCCGAGTACATGTGAGTTGAAAATAGGTTCCTGCCCTTGTTTTGAATGTAGTCTCGCTTAACCTGTTTACCGACCATGCTACGTTTGATTAACAGGCCGGGATAATCAACACTACTTTTTTACGAAACATAACAGAAAGCTGGAACACATAACAGAAAGCATAACGGAACAATAAATTGAATTTAGAAACACGCACGTTGGGCAACTCAACAATTGTTTTAAGAACCTTGTAAAAGTAAAATGAAACTACTGCTAGTATCATGTTCTTGCCCAACGCAAGTATTTCAGAGGTATTATTTGTACTAAACCAAAAGATGCCGCTCCTAATGGTACAGTTAATGATAAAGCAATAAAAAAAAAATAAAACGAACGTAATTTCTAAAGCTGCTGTAATAACCAATAAGCTAAATATTACTGCTATTCAGAATAGATTTTTTTTACGGCTGTAATAGTCGATAGATGTGTAGAGAATTGCACGTGCGATGGCTATTTATAGTATCATAGACTCTTCCGCTGAGTGTTATCATAGTGCGTAGTGTATGCGAGAAATCACTTCAAGATAAGCCACTGAAGCGTGTGCATTCGCCGTGTCGAGACCAACTTTCTGTACGGTGCAGGGGTCACCCTACCACTGAGCCACAGTTTATCACCGGCATTCAAGGATATTCTAGATGTACTGACCGTGTTCCCTAAAATCCGACTATCGCGGCCCCACGTTCTTTGGGAAATGCAAGATTCTGAATCTCACATGCAAAGTTTATTCACCCACATTCGCCAACTTTTGCCTTTAAAACAAGTAATTATTTTCTTGTCCAGTGAACCCTTTCTGGGTACTGCTGATCATTCTCCGGTGAATTTTCCATGCTAGTTTTATCAAAATAAATGAGTGATATAACTAAACTGCTTGAAATGTTAGAACATCAATGAATGATTTAAAAGAAACATTTGTCGGAAACAGTTTTCGCTAAAAAAAAATAGTATTATGGCCAATGGCGTGCTGGGGCCATCGAAGAAGGGTAGGCAGACCAAGCTTAGGGCACTTTAATGGACGTGGGGCTGTCTTTCCCTCTGGTGCCAATAAATGTTTGGTTCTATGACACATGATAAGAGACGATTTGACATATATCTGAGGTATAGCCTTGGCTTTATTTTGTAACTAAGTTGGAAATCGAGAAAGGGTAAAAGCTTGAATCTTGAACTGCCTCCGCATTGCTGTCTAGTTTATTCGATCTACCCTTCCTACCCACCCAGCACACCTTTGATTATAAGTCAAAACACACGAAGGATTGCTCGGAAATCTCGTTGGCATCCATTATTTGAGTAAAATACTAATAGCACGCCATACCCATTTCTCGTAACAATTCGCGTGATGGTTTGTCGAGTGCGGAAATACCCCACCATAAGCATGGTTATAAAAAGAAAAGAAATGGGGTTAAACGTCCTACTGTTCTACTAGCATAGCGATAAATATGGACAAAGATTGAGATTCTGTGGCAAATTTTATTGTTAATTAATAAGAACCGTTACACATGACTGGTGTGTATATATTGTTTTATTATCAATACGCGTGGTTGTCATCAGTATATCATGGAGCCCATACCCTGAAACATATTCCGCTTTCTTATGCATGTTTAATATGAGCAATGCATCCTACCCAAAATATCTGACAAATATAGAGCAGCAACTGGTATTTGAACATTCGAGACTCAGATAGACAAATGAACTAAATTAAAGCCGATTCTAACAATATGTAGATGACACATATTATTGTTACAAGTCATTGTAGTTCTTGGACATACTTCCATTAGTGTTCCTCTGTATCATATGCATTGACGTTAGCGACGTCCGATTATAATCAGAACGAGACCATTCGGAACCACGCGGCTGCTTACGTCGACATAAGTTGTTGAGCATGATTTTCAAAGATCGTTTGAAATGTTTACCATATATGGCATAGAGGAAAAAGTTAACACTGAACGTTGAATAGTAGATAAGTTGAGTGAGTTCTTGAATAAGCATTTTATATAAAGGAACTGGTCCGCGGTGCGAGATGATCAACTGTTCAAGACGTATGACGTGACTGGGGAGGTTTAGGACTAAGAACGTTGTGGAGACCAACAATAAGGTCCGCGTAATTCTCATCTGGGACGTATTCTTTACGGCCGTTGTGTGTGTCTGTAGAATACTCCGCCTCTTATTCTGGTACATAAATACACACCATACAATTCTTAAATTCATGAACAGAATCAATAAGAATGGTATTATCATTGTTATTGCCGTGTCTATCCATGTCACTATGTTCATCAACTCAAAATATGTATCGTCAGAAATACAGATTGGCCGTCCTCGATATTGTGCAACACTCGTTGTCCATAGGGCAAAATTATACAGAAGACATGCTAATATGACAAGGACAATCACCACCACTTTCTCCGAAAGTTTGCCCAGAATCATTGGCGCCCTTAAAGAATGACATATGGCTATATATCGTTCACTAGTAAAACAGACAACGTACCAAACTGACAAAAAACTGGAAATATATGTTATAAATATTATAACCCTACAAGAACCATCCGACATTAGTATTGGACGAATCCCATCAAGCCAGGTGACAAACAGTGAGACCAGGAATAAATTGTCTGCGCATGCCAAGGCTGCGAGATATCCACTAGAAGAAAGATGGCGTTGATGACTGGCAGTGAAAACAGCCAGAGCCAGAAAATTGCCCATTAGTCCAACTAACACATTTGTGGGTACGAATATATTCCTTGTCAGTGTAACTGCGTACAGCAAGGCTCTCTGGTCCGACATATCACGGTAGAATCCAGAATCGTTAAACGACAAGGACGTTTGTTCTGTAATGACTTCATCATCTGCCTGGATGTTGTAGCTGACAGTAACATCCGCCATTTTATTACCTGAAATTATACAAGATACTATTATCTATCTGGTTAAATGCTAGCCTAAAATTCGTAAATAAAATAAGGATCAAAGTAGGAATAATCGCCAATTATGTTTTATGGCCTATATAAATTGTTAGGTTTTACATGTAATAGGTTTACACCGACCACCGTCATAAAGTTAGATATCTGATCAAATTTCCCGAATTGATCTGTACCTTGCATGTGTATTAAATACATTTAAAATACAGATGTAACGCCACCCTTTGATGTTGGCGAACCATTATTTCAAATAATCGTACGGTCAACTTGCCAATCGTACATTATTTATACTAGTGAAATATTGGACTCGCGTGACGTATTTCACTGTAAAAGCACGTGCGGAGTGTCTGTATTTTAAGTTGTTTAATGGTCTCGAGCTTAAGACATTGCGTAATATATTGTAAAAACATTCGGGTCTACGTCCCTCTTGTTGTTACAATATATCAATGTCTCACTCCCAATCATTAAACAATACATACAGCAACCATAAAACATGCTATAACGACTGTTCGAAGTTCAGCTTAATATAGCGATTTAAAAAGATCTCCAGTATTCGATACTGTTTCTAACTTTGAAAAGCGGTATTTAAATTCTGCAATAATCTACATTCGAAATTGTCAAGTTGATAATTGAAAACATTTATAGTTTAGCCCTTTGCTCAACCATAGTTCCCACAGGGCTCACACGAAAACAAAGAAAGTGTGTCTAGTCGTTCGGATGGAACCCGAGTACACAATGACGTGCAGGTATAAAGAACCCTTGATAGTTAGAAATGAAGTAAAGCTCTAAAATAGCCCGTCTGGACATTAAGATTAACATAAGAAAAAGGGATATTTTGCCTTTAAATAGATGTTGGTAGCCTTTACATGTATTTGTATGTTATGGTCTGATTTTTGCCAATTGCAACCCGAACGCATTCTTACTGCAATCATTTGAAATAAGTAGATATTTTTAGTCACCACCTTGCAATACTGCATTTTAAATGCTAAATAATAGTTCGTTTCTGTTTCTCACTGAACACGATTGTCACGACAAAATATTCGTTACTAATTACGGTTTTGAAGACTCATTTAATTACACAAACTGATGTTTTGTTATCACGTTGGGATTGGCAATCATTACGTGATTTATGTGTGTGATTGAGTCTCCCACACATGCACATAAAAGGTTCGTGTTTCGATTGATATAATTGTGCGTGATAATATCACATAAAACACACAGTAACATCAATACTATGTAACAATGCATTCTATACATTTACTGAGGTTTTTTTATGTAACCAATCTCAATCTCTGACATAACACAAAACTTAATTAATAGTATTAACCGTTATGTTTCTAATAGGTGACCGCCGCTGGCGACTAATCCTTTATATACATCTGCAAATACTGTGCTAGTAGCTCGTTACATTTTGCTTATAGAATAAGGGTTGGGTAGACTGGTGATCAAAAGCGCCGCACTTTAAATCCGTGAGTGTGATAACACAATGTCGTTTGGCTAACCCCAGAGGCTCTCGACTAGTTCAGAGCCATGGTGGCTCGGCGAATAAGACATTAGCTCGTTAATTTGGAGGTCCCGTGACCAATCCCTGCGTTGGCCGAGAAAGTTCATCGGGATTTTCCGGCGTGGTTCCCCATCGTCAGTGATGCAGGACAGAGATCCTGGCAAGGAACAGCGTATTGTCGTTCGGATGGGACGTAAAACAGAGGACTCGTGTACACGTTGGTGTACACGTAAAAAAATCCCTTGGCAGTTGGAATTCGATATAAGGGTAGGCCGTAGGGCCGCTTTCCGGGCAAAATTTCCCTCATAGCTGCATGGCGTATACCCGTCTTCATTAGCCCAGTTTGGACAGAACATGGGATGGGTGCAGTGATTATTTAGCTAACAAACTAGAATCCCTACAATTAGATGCACTAGGCACTATCTGTGAGGCGGTTAGAGGTACCAGCCATGCCTTACGCTATAAAATGACTGGATTTGTTTCACTCTCGGAAAGACGTCGACGTCATAAATTAAAATTAATGTATAAAATTATTAACAACCTCGCGCCATCATATCTCTCTGACCTATTATTAGACCTATCAAAGATAAACTAAAGGAACCAGATGCAGAACCGAAATTTTCTCCGACTCCTTCATCCCTTCCAGTATACGAGAATGGAACAAATTTAACGTTGAAATTAGAAACTCTCGATCCCTTGCTATCTTTGGAAATTCACTAAACAAATTAGATACCATCGTGCTATCATATTACTATCTAGGGAAAAGAAATTACAAATAATCCACTGTAAACTAAGATTATGCTGCTCAAATCTACAAGGCCATGAATTCCCCAGACACGTCGATGATAGCCCCGCTTGCCTCTGTGGTCACAACTTCGAAGATCCCGAACACTATTTACTCGTATGCCACTTATATTCAGATGCAAGAAAACAGACAATCCATAACTTTCAACATAATCATAAAACAATCAGTTGTCTGTTGTATGGGTCAATAAAATTTAGTCCTGAGATAAATACACTTATTTTCCAAGAAGTCTAACAATTTATTCTCTTATCAAAAAGATTTAAATCTCCATAAACAACTCTTAAGTTATTTCAAGCCCTGAACACTGTACAATCATCTAAGTCTCTATTATTATCCATTATATATCCTATATTTATGTAATTGTGTATGTATATATTTATAATGTGCACATGTATCTAAATCAGAGAGAGGGGTTACACATAGGCATAGCCAGTTCCCCAATCCAAATTTAATGAATAAATATATTATTTGAAAAAAAATGATTTGTTTGTGACGACCATGTCGGTACGCTATTGTGGAATTGGTGGTTTTATTGATGAGCTGCTTGGGGGACTGATTAAAGGTAGTAAAAAATTAATGTCTGACGTGTTTAATTTCATGCCGAGGGAGATCATGGTCACATGTATTGAGGGCGCGGTTAGTGAGTGTGGTAAAGATGGCTTTCTTGATTTGGAAAGGGTGGTTGGATCTAAAATGGGTCGGTTTCCTATAAACTGAAGTACAGATAGAGTTATCGATCCATTGGACATTGACATCTAAGAAGGGAGGGCTATTGTCTGTTTCTAAGTCCATGGTGAACGTAATTTCTTTGTGCTGTGTGATTAGGTGGTCTAATAGGGCATGGGGGTCATCTGCATTGTTGAGCATGACGGAAGTATCGTCAACTCGTCGGTACCAGTGATGTTCTTCAAAGGTAGTGAGGTAAACTTCAGCTAACAAAGGTGATAGTGGGCTTCCCATGGGCAATCCTCTACTTTGTTCGTAGATGTCGTCCCCCAATGTGAAGGTGGCCGAAATACAGGTTTGAACCAGGTCTATGATGCTGTCAGTGGTAAGGCTGGTGATTAATGGGGTTGGCATTTCCTCAATACATTTGCGTAAGCTATTGATGGCTTCATTTCTAGGTACATTTGTGAACAGGTCGACAGCATCGTAGGAGACAAGTTTCCCTGGCTTAGTGACTTTTTGGATGTTGCTGCAAAAATCATTAAAAATCCAGAATGTAAGAATCAGCAGTTTTGGCTATTGGCGATATTAATTTGGATAGGTACTGGGCTGTTTTGTAGTAGACCGAGTCTCTGGAGTACACAAGCAGCCAGGCTTTGGTTGGGTTTTTGTGGATTTTGATGGTGGCTCTGGCATAAGGTGGATGGGGGTGAGTTGGAAGAATAGCTGGTTTGAAATCTGGTTCTGATGTTTAAGGGATTTCTGGTGTTCTAGGTGCTTTGTTTGGTAGGCAGAGGTGAGGCCTTTCCTTAATCTCTTGTAGATGGCTTGGTCTTGAAGGAGGGTATTGATTGTTTTGACGTAGTCCGCTGTATCCATTATAACCGCTGCCTTCCCTTTATCCTCAGGTACTATCGTGATGTCTCTGTCTTCTTTTTAGTTCTTGGGGGGCTTCACGTTCAGTTTTGGTGAGGTTGTTGGGTTTTTTTGGCGGGCTTGGAGAGAATATTGGTGATCGGGTCACGTAGGTAGTCGACTTTTCCCTCTAGTGCTAATTGGGTAGTCCCTTCTCGATGCTGGCGATGTAATGGTCATAATTCTTGGGTTTGCTGGTGGGAACTTGGAGTCCAAGTGACAGTAGGGAGATCTGGTCATCTGTGAGGCGCTGCTGACTAAGATTAATGACAGTTTTGGTGATGCATTCATCCTTTTTTGTTTTGGAAGTAGCAGGATTTGTTGGCTGTTGGTAGTTGCGTTTATTGATTGATTGAACTTATTGCTTTGGCGGTTTTTGATGAGGGTGTCTAGTTTAGCATTGGTTGCTACCTGCTTGTTGTGTAGAAGGTTAAATGTTTCAGGCATTAGTATAGTGGCGAGTTGGTGACGTTGATCTTCCGTTGATTTGAAAATACAATGTTTTTCGTTCCTTAAATACTAAATACACTCACGTAGTAGGCACAGACTGGCTTCGAGGAGAATTTTCTGCGCGGTTGATAACACAACTGGTGACATGAGGGCGAATACTTTCGGCAGTAAACAACTATCTCTACATCGCATGGGAAATGTTAAACTGTTACACACCTTGATATATCTACCCTCAGATTTACTTATCTGGTTGATGAGACTGACTGCCACACCTCCATATTGATGACGAATAAATTGCTTGAGCTGCATTTAGTAACTGGATGAGAATAACATAAAAAAACCGAAACGAAATAGATCTGTATTTTTTTAATCAGATTGTTCGAGCTTAGCAGACTATGATGTCATTGCCCGATTTTAATCTACCAGACATATCTTTGTTAACCTAGTTCTCGTTGTCACTGGTACTAGCTAACGACTTCAATACATTATCCAGGGCATCTTTTACAGAACTTGGGTAACCTCTACAGTATATAGACCCTATAGTATTACACTAGCTCAGCCACAGATCAACGAAACAAAAGAGGCGATGGTAGGGTTGCGAATACATTGCAACAACGGAGAAATAAAGCGAGATAT